GGCCGCAGAAGGGGTGACTTCGCTCGCCCACCTCCGTGTGTTCGATGTGGTTGGCCATCCACATGGACACAGGAGCCTATGCATGACAGTGCATGTTAGTACCTCTGGGGGACCACTATGGGCAGAACCATATGATGAAGAAGAAGTGGCCGGTACGTCGATCTTGGGGTAGATGAGATACTGTTGCTCCACCAGCTGACCATTGACGTAGAGCAAGACCTCGCTGCGCCGCAAGAAGTGGTAGATGTGGGCCACTGCAACGAAGTACCTGCACGGGTCCCGCCCGCGTGGTGAGAAGGCAATGCATTGTTGTGAATGGGCGCTGGGTGGGGGCGAACAAAGCTGTGTGGGACGCACCATCGCTCCTTCTTGAAGCGGTAATTGAACTTGATCCAGGCATGCTTGTTTTTGCCTTGCCGCGAGAGAACGACCAGATACTGCGACACGAAGAACAGTTCCATGCCGCGACCGTCGTCGCAGGCGAAACTAAGGGAGGGAAGGGAGGGAGAGTGAGCTTACTAAGTATAGTCCATAGCCGAGCCCATGCGGAAAGATCACGGGGTCCTGCGACGTGTGTATGCACGAACCTGAACAGATGTGGCCTGATCGTGGCTTGCTCGGGCGGAAGGCTTCTCCGGCCCCTATTGAGGGGGAGTACGTCTTTGTTGGACGATATGCTCAGCCACGCGCAAAACGAGTAACCGTCGTTCAGAGGCCACACGGACTTCCACGTCGGAATCATGACGCTGCACACCCGATTGAGTTGAAGATTGTCAGCACCCCAGAGAGGGAGGGGGAGAGCCAATGTAAAAGCTTCCTGTCGGTGAGAAAGAAGATGTACCCCGACTTGTTCTCTCGTCCATTGAAGTCCCAGAAACAGGAGGGCCATCTTCGTTCCTGCTTCTTGACAATTCTCTGCAGAGTGTCGACCAGGGAGCACCACACTTGCCCAGGCACCTTCATGTGTGCGAAACACGGTGTGTGAGTGGTGAGCGATGTTTATACACATTAGTGGCGGTCAGGCCTGAATAGTACCTGCACGGGCGGGTAGAGCTCTTGCAGCAGCTGCTTGCCCTCGGGTGAGTCGTCGGACGCTGCGCCCGAGTCCTCAAAGTCGGGTGTGGTTTGGCCGTAGAGGAAGCGGAGCAGCTGCTTCAGCTCCTTCGACGACAGCGAGAAGGAGCCGAGGGACTCCATCAAGATGAAGAGCTCCCGCAGCACGACCTCGCTGTCGAGCGGCTGGTAGTGGAGCATGTGCAGCAGGCGTGTGACCCATCCCCTCTGGCAGCAGTAGCCCTTCACCCGGTCCGACTCCGACACCAGGTCTGGACCAATTGTGGAGTGGAGTGTGAGCCGTCGGCCGAACACCACCACCGCCAGTGTTGCATGCTCGCACAGCACAGCCCAAGAGCGAGTAGCGGTGGAAGTGGAGCGAGTACCGTTCAGTCGCTTCAGCAGCACGACCTGCAGCGAAGTGCCGCAGCGAGGCAGGAGCTGAAAGAAGACGGAGAAGAAGTCCAGCTCCTGACCCTTCCCGGTGCGAGACTCGGCTTCGTGCGGCGCCAGCTCGCTGTACTCCTCCAGCTGCAGCACACCGTGGAAGCACAAACAAGAGAAGAGCATCTGAGCAGACTGCAGGCGTGCGTAGCGTAAAGTTCAAAAGAGGAGAGGGAGCGTACCAGGTCAAAGAGAAAGGAGAACAGCTCGCCTGCATAAGACGATCACGAATGAGACCGCAGCGAAATAAATTGGGATTAGGGTCGTTTCAGCAGGATTTTGTGAATTTAAATGAGAGCGTACCCGAGGGAACGTCTTCCTCGATGGTGAGCAGCAAATCAACAAAGTTCGCGTTCAAGTCCTTCGAATCCCACTCTCGTTCTTCCATTTCCTCGCGTTCGCGTTCTTGCCGCAACTCTTCGATTATTTGTTCGGTGATGAGGGCACCGTCATCCTGGGACGGACCCTCCATCTTGCTACTTCCTTGTTGAGAGCCCCTAACCGACCGTTGGTCACAAGCACTGGTGCTCGCGCAGGCCACCAGAAGCTGATTCGTTCTCGTTCGGGACTAAATGTTGATTTTTTGATTTCATTTTCATTTTCTCTTTTTTCTTAAATCGTGCCTGGATTTTACCGGCAATGCACACGCAACAAAAAGACAAGGCAACTGCACCAGTTGTCAACCTCATACACAGAGCTCTGGACTTCAGTTGTTGGCACCCCATCTTTCGATCCGTCCTCGCACAACTGGGAACGATACGATCCCCTCTTTGAATACGACTCGATTAACGAGGAGGAAGAATTTGGGAGGTGAGAGAGGGGTGAGAGATGGCGCGCGAGACATTTTCGCCCAAGTTCGTACTGCTGCTGCTCCTTCTGTTTGTGGTGGGCAGCCTCTGCTCGTTCGCATTCTATGCCCCGTTTGCGATGCGCGGTGTGCCCAACTACTACGAGCTGCTCAATCTCAAGCCCGACGCATCCATGCCCGAGATTAAGAAGGCTTTCCGAGTTGCCTCCAAGCAGCTGCATCCGGACAAGGTCAACGTCGAAGATGAGGAAAGCCGTCTCAAGGCCACCCGCAAGTTTATTGAAATGACAGAAGGTTCTTATCTCGCAACCTCCTTGTGCTGTACCCAGCCGTTTGAAGGCAAGCATCTTCTCATCAGCCTCCATCTTCAGCCTTCGAAACGCTGCGAGATTCGAAGAAGCGGTACTGGTACGACCTCTCCCTCA